GTCTGAAAAAGGGGGAGTTCTCCCTTTACCCAGCGGGGCACTACCAGACGCCTCTGGGGTATGAGCGGATAACGACCTTCGACAGCAGTGGGAACGTGGAGGAGGTGTGCCGGCCTCGCACCAGGATGCTCTGTGCCCAGAGCACCTACACCCTTCCAGGGCCCGGCAGCTCTGCCACCTTGCGCATCACTGCCGCTGAGAAGAAGATGCAGCAACCCTGCACCAGTGCCACCCTGAACCGACTCACGGTCCCGCGTTACTCCATCCCAACTGGGGACCCGCCGCCCTACCCCGACATCGCCAGCCAGCTGTCCCAGGACAGAAGCATCGCACAGAGGCTGGACAGCAGTATCATTCATGCAACTCTGCGGAGGAACAGCAGAGAGGCAGCCCTGAAAATGGCTCAGCTGGTGGACGGTCGGAGAGCCACCTTGCAACTTCCCCCGAAGGCCAAGAGCAGCGTTGTGACGGCGCAGTACCAGCAGAGAGTACCCACCGCCTTGTACACCTGCAGCCAATGCAGCAGCGGTGGCAGCAACGTGAGCACTGGTGGTGTGGGCAACATCACTAGTGCCAACGCTAGTAGCAGCACTTCCAGTATTGGTGGCATGAGACCTGATCTGAGCACGGGGAGTGGCTCCCAGCACAGCTCTGTCATTGCTCACTCTGTCAGTACTTCGCCTCTGGCCTCCCAGTCCTCCTACAGCTTGCTGAGCCCGCCTGACAATTCCCGTGACCGAGCGGATTATATCAACTCTGCCTTCACGGAGGATGAGGCCCTTTCTCAGCACTGCCCAGTGGAGAAATCAATACGGCACGTACCCGTTTCCTTGACGGAGGCTGCCCTCGGTGTAAAACGGCCACCACCATACCAGTGGGACCCTATGGTGAATGAAGAGATATGGGTTCCTCAGGAAAGGACATCTCAGAGCTCAGTGCCCAACCCTCTAAAACCTACTCCTCTCATCATCGGTCAAGCTCAACATCTGGATATGTCTCGAGTGCCGTTTGTTTCCCCCAAGTCTCCAACCAGTCCCACTGCCACTTTCCAGACGAGTTATGGGGTTGGAGTACCTTACCCAGGAAGCTACAATGCCCCTCCCCTTCAGGGAATGCAGCCCCCCTGTTCCCCCAAAGAAGCTCTGGCCCCAACACAGTTTGCACAGCAGGAGCCCACAGTCGTGCTTCAGCCAGGTTATCCATCCAACCTCTCCTATTGCCCTTTGCCACCCATGTACCCGGGAAGTAGCGCCTGCTCTAGTTTACAGCTGCCACCAATCGCCTTGCACCCATGGAGCTCCTACAGCGCCTGCCCACCCGTACAGAACCCCCAGGGCACGTTGCCCCCCAAGCCGCTCCTCGTGGTGGAGAAGCCGGTGATGTCTCCCCCGCCGGCAGAGCTGCAGGGCCACGTGGGCACAGAGGTAATGGTGGAGACAGCAGACACCTTCCAGGAAGTGCTCTCCTTGACAGAAAGCCCCGTTCCTCAAAGGACAGACAAATTTGGCAAGAAGAGCCGGAAGCGCCTGGACAGTCGAGCTGAGGAAGGAAATGTGCAGGCTATCACCGAGGGCAAGGTCAAAAAGGAGGCGAGGACGCTGACCGACTTCAATTCGCTAATATCCAGCCCTCGGCTGGGGAGGGAGAAGAAGAAAGTCAAGAGCCAGAAAGACCAGCTGAAGTCCAAGAAGCTAAACAAGACAAACGAGTTTCAGGACAGTTCAGAGAGCGAGCCAGAGCTTTTTATCAGTGGGGATGAACTGATGAACCAGAGCCAGGGCAGCAAAAAGGGTTGGAAAACCAAAAGGAGTTTGAGGACAGCCAGTGAGCTGGACGAATTCAAGTGCCGGAAGGCCAGCGAGAAGGAGGATGGGAGGCTGGGGAGCCAGGGCTTTGTGTATGTGATGGCCAACAAGCAGCCACTGTGGAACGAGGCGACGCAAGTCTACCAGCTGGACTTCGGAGGGCGGGTGACCCAGGAGTCGGCAAAAAACTTCCAGATAGAGCTGGAAGGACGACAGGTAGGAGGGGGGGGATACATGGGCCGGGCTGGGGGACGGGGCGTGGGAGAGCCATGCCAGAAATAAGCTCTGCCTCTCACATGGCTGAGTGCCTCCCGCTCGTGTTAGCTGCTCCGTGAAAAAAAATTTTGCCACGTGGTTGATAAAAACCAGCCGTCAAAGGTCTAGATTCAGAATGGAGGGTGAAGTTCATTTATAAAGTAAATGTACAAAATATGTTTGGTCTTACTCCAGTTGGACATGGGAATAAGGGCCTCCTTTAGTCTCACTGGCTCTCACTTCTGAAGGTAGGTGGGTTTTGTAATAAAAACAACAGATCTCCCCAATGGTAGCTGCACTTGCTGTCGGTGGTGTGGATGGCAGCTACCTGAATGAACACTGCTCCCTTCTTGCAATGCTCGCAAAGGTTAGCCGGTCAGCAGGGAGCTCAGGCAGAGACAATGGACAGGCAGTTAGGTTCCCTCCACGCCAAAATTTCCCCTTGTGGGTTACCAGGCCTCTCGGGCTGGTTCTTAATGCTAGAGGAAGGGAGGCACTGACCTTCCCCCAGAACAAGGGGCTTCTGAACCACCCATGGGTAGAGGGGTTTGTGGATAGTTCAAAAAATCAAAACGTTTAATTTTAGGCTCTCTCACCTTGGCCTGAGTGGGATGTTACTACACCAACCCAGGCTATTAAGTGGTATCAATCAGCAGGACACTGGACTGAGATTAGGGAGACGTATATTTATTTTCTTGTCCATCTGTCCCATCTCTGTAAGTCACTTGATTTATTAAAGACATCAAGGCTCTCAACTCCCTCTGATTTAGCTTGGGAGTTAGATGTCTTAAATATCCAACATGCATGACCAGTGGTAGTCTCTTGGTTTTGTTTGTCTGTAACAGCAGCTCATTAAAAAGGCAGTGATCAGAGCCATTTATATCCCTTTCTTCTTCAGTTAAATGGCTGTGGATATGTGCCCGTGGACAGCTGCGCAGAATCACCCAGCCACAGGTTTTGTTGGTGGGGAAACAAAGCCTGACTCGACTTGCACAGCCAGCCTCCATTCTAGCTCAAGGAACTTCACTGTAGAGCAAATACGATCTGGGCTTCTGATGAAGTGAATGAAAAAGCAGTAATAATAGGCCAAACTTCAGATATTCCCTGCCGAAGAACAACGAACAACCTGGCTAGCCTTGCTTTACATTTTGAACAGCTCCCACTGCCCCTTTGGGCATTCATTCTCTGTATAATTATGTGCTAGTGAAGTTTATGCAAAGGAGAACAGAACTGCCAAGAACACACAGCTTACCAGTTCTGAAGTGCTAGAGTCAGGAGATTGGTTATTCCCCTTTCCTAAAAGCTCCTTTCTTTGAAAACAAACTCTGTTCTTCTGATGGGCTGATTGATGACAGGATTCTCTCCAAGGGAGAGAATGGTATTTTCCTGCAGGAAGTGTGGTGCTGGTGTAACCCACATCTGCTGAAGTAATTGGTGACAATCTACTTACACCAATGCTGTATACAGTCTAGCGTGTTTTAAAGCTCAATTTACTCTGTAGAGTAAAATGACTGTGGAGTCAAATATTGCCGTCAAATACTCTATACAGACAAATAGTACAGTGGTCTTACTCTTCTTTGGCATCATACCCCATTCTGTGAGTAGCCCCATTCGTATTAGCTCAGGAGGTGAGGTGTTCTTACAAAGGAGCAAAAATATTTCGCTTTTTTTCTTCTCTGGTTCCTTTTCTGTGGTTCACTTTTTTTGACCTTGTTCTCTTTTTGCTTCCCTTCTCCTCTTCCCCTGCTTCCCAGGTGATGCAGTTTGGAAGGATTGATGGCAATGCTTACATTTTGGACTTTCAGTATCCATTTTCTGCAGTGCAAGCCTTTGCTGTTGCTCTGGCTAATGTGACTCAACGCCTCAAATGAACAAGCAGAGACTGGAGAGCGGAAAATGTTAAACTTCTCATAAAGTCCAAACCGGAAAATGTCAGGGCAGCCTGCTTTAGGTGTGCAGAGGCGCCTGGGAGCGAAGAAGGCAGTAAAACTGGAAAAGTCTCTTGGTGCCCACAGAGGGGCATTAACTCTAATCAGTCATGGGGTGGAGGGTGGGGGGCTGTTTTCAGTTTTGTTTGTTTGTTCGTTTGTTTGTTTTCAGGTGTTTTTTTTCTTTTTAAGCATTGTGCTGGGTCTCAGAAAGAGCGAAGGGTTGAGAGCCATTTAGTGTTACGTGGAGAGTGTGGCTTTTGGCTTGTTGTGGTGGTTCTGCCGTGTTTGCTACAGTAGCTGATGTAAGCTTATAGGGGGATTAAAAAAGACTGCTCTTTTTGATAGACTGCCTTATATCATGCTCTTCTTTTTAAAACAGGGAACATAACTTTTTTTCTGGTCCAGTTTGTACTACTACTACTCCTCCTCTACTACTACTACTACATCAGTGATAGCAGCAAAAAAAGAAAAAAAAGAAGCTATAACACTTGAAGACACGTGTTTCTTCTCTGATCTCTGATAATAACTGAGCACCACAAGTTCCAAGGAGGCTTATGTAGGTCAATGTTTAATTTATAAATAATGATGTATTATTCAGAAGAGAAACAATTGTTATCAATGGGTGGTTTAAAAACCCACTGTATCAAAGAAATTGATGTCTGCTTGTTTTGTGTGCTGTTATTGGGGATAAACATCTTTCAGTAGGTGACAGAAGATAGAGGAGGAAATAACTACGAGCGTTGCTTCTTTTGTTATTGGGGATAAACAACTTTCAGTAAGTAACAGAAAATAGGGGAGGAAATAATTATGAGCGTTGCTTCTTTGCTCATATTGATCAGCAGTATTCTCCAATTTGGCCTGTAGTTGAGAGAGGTACAGCGTGACCAGATGTACCTCCAAGGCCACGCCTGTACATGCTTCTCATTTAAATGTGTTTACACTTTATAAACAAAGTCTTTCAAGCGAATGAGAAGGCCCAGTGTATTCAGTCTTCTTAGCAATCAGTATGAATCAAGTCCTACAACAGTGTATCAGTGCTTGAATTAGGAAGGAGACAGAAGTATAGCAAGTCATTACAGGAAGCAATTTCATCAGGAAAGCAATTTCATTACAGGAAACAACATCATGGCTCGCTGGAGAACAAATGAGTTGAAAGAGGAAGGAAAAACTGGACAGAATCATCCCTTTTATCACCTTGCTACTTGAGTAGTCTTTGTGACTGTGGTTTGAGAATATAATGCTCCAGCTAAGAGCGGGAAGCCAAAAGTTTACATGGAGTGTTACAGAGGAAGGCTCAATAACTGTAGCATGACTCCCTGCAGTTCTTATGGACTGAGCATTTCAGAAGGGTTGCTTGCACAGAAGAGTTTCTGTGTTGTCCTTGTGTTGTGCACATATTTGTTTGCTTTCTCTCTTTCCTCCTTGCCTGCATTTTGCTATGGAATATGTTTTGATATGGAAGTAGTTTCCCCAGTAATACACAAACCCCCAAACTATTCATGTAATTATTTGGACGTTAGATTACAAAACGTAACTGCAGATTTCCTTCAGAAATTACTCTTTTGAAGTGAAAGGCATGCTGAGAAAGATATGTTGGTTGAGGTGTTGATGGCTGCTTTGTCTTTGTCTTTCTTCCACAGTTTAACTTCTTACTTGAAAAACTCGGTATAACTTAAGATGAATAGGCGTGATTTTCTCTCTTTGCTTTTCTTAAATCCTAATGGTAGGACAGATGTGTGTTGCATTTGATTCTTTCTAGAGGAACGTATCACATAAGAGAAGACCCTGCTGTAGTAGAAGTTGCCAACATAACTTCTGCTCTGCTGAGGCTTCTAGAGCTGTGCAGCACAGAGGGAGTAATTCCAGTCAGAGAGGCGTTTCAGAGAGTTGCCAAGGGAGGTGACGAGACAGATCAATCACAGGTAATGTCCCGCAGGGTAAGCCCAGGAAAAACCACCTGCAAAATGGTTTTCTTGGAGAGAGGAAGCAGAGGTAGGAAGGAAGGAGAGGGGGAAGTAGATGGTACCGTGCCTGTATTATCCCAAAGCTCAGCAGCTTCTGCTTGCGTCTGGGAGTGGTCAGGCACACATTCCCCTTGGCATCTGGCAGATCATTGTTTGGTTTAATTAATTTAATTTTGTTGAATTTCTATCAGTTGTCTGGGTCCATTTGTATTCTTTCTCAGGTGCATGATTTATTCAGCAGTTTGAGTGCCGTATGTATAATGTGGAACAGAGGAACCGAAATGGATTTGGTTCTGGTCCCTTTAAAATCAACGGAAGTGTTTCCCTTGGATTTTTGTGGAGGAAGCACTGTTAAGCCCTTTGTCTATATTGAGTTACACGCTGTACGAACAGTAGGTTGAATTCTCAGTCCGCTGATTCCAATACACAAGGAGGAAAGTTGGCGGATGAGAGTCCTCACCTGCCCTAAGGTCTGTGCTAACCAGTCATACCCTAATTAGAATATAACAGGCACACACTGAACACTGTAAGAGAAGAAACATACCATGGCTTGCTGGCTTGCTTGCTGAGAGAAGGGCCACTCAGTCACATGTTAGAAATCTTCAGCTGGAAGGAACATCACCTGTAGTTTTAAGCCAAAATTCTTATTACGTGGAAAAAACATGAATGTTTTTTCTGAACAAAATCTAATCTAAATAGAAGGACTTCTGCGTGCAGTTTCTTTAACCTTCCAGGGAACAGTATTCTGCTTCACTTGGTTCGTTGCCAAATTTTTCCAATTATCAGCAGTTTTATGCTAATGGAGAACCAAGAAATGAAACCCAATACAACAAGTAGCAGAGTTAGTAATTTGGTTTCATTGGCCCAGGTCATGATTGCATCCTTCGGATGGCATTTACAAAGAGCCTTGGCATAGAAGAGAGCTGGTTTCTGCCCCAGCAAAGCAGAAGGAATAATTATCAAAAATTAGGAAAATAAATGCAATTTCCAACATCCTTCCCATTTACTTGTCAGAAAATGCTATTGGAATAAGATAATCTTTTATCTTTTTGGAAATAATTTAATGGAGTCCCTTTAATTGAGGATTTTCATGGCGTAGAGAATACCCAGTATTAGAGAGAGAAAATACTCTCAAATATATAGAACTTTAATGAAAGGAATGGGAATTATGGAAATGTCGTGAGTGTGCAACTGAATCCTAAATTACACAAAGAACAAGTGAAGGGGACAGTTGTTTTATTTTTCATTGAAGTACAATATAGGAAACAAAGTTTAAAAAGCCCCCCGCAAAATAATCACTTAAATCCTGAAGGTCATTATTGCATTCAGGCAAAAGATAGATGTTGCATTTTCTATTTTATTAGTAAAACCCAGGTTTTCTGTCGATAACTAAGTTCTTCTAGGAAGAATGTAGCAAAGTGTTCAGAAATATCTAGTTCTTTTATACATACAGTAATTTCCAGTAGTTAAGTATGTTTTTTCCAAAGCTTTTTTTTAGTTGTGCAATAATTGTGACATTCTAGGGGCTTTATGGGTTTTTTTGTTGGTTTTTTTTGTTGGGTTTTTTGTTGTGGGGTTTTTTTAGGGAATTTTGAGTGGTTTTTTAAAGCTAATTTAATGCAGATTTTCTGTTAATGTCCAAAAGACAAATTATTTATCTTGCATAATGTAATAAGTGATTTAGGGATTATTTTATTACTATGTATCAGTGAGTTATACACACTTTGTTATTTATATTTAAAGAGCATCTTTGTAAGTAATTGTTTGCTAGCAGTATGTTTTGCTGCAGGAAGTTAAAAATGCATATAGGAAGACCTGTTTTTTGCTGGATAGTATGCAAAATTTCATAATGCAGGCAGACAAAAATATTTTTTGGTAGCTGAATGCAGTGAGTTTGCTGTGGAGGACTGTGTAGACTACAAAGAGTGTAGATGACTTCTTTGGGACCTGCAAAAATCTGTCCTCCGCTGTTTTCCTCCTTTGTTTCTAACTATATATTTCAGTTGGGAGTGGTTTTAAAAATACAAGGCTTGATTTACTTTCCCTCTTCTTAGTACAGTGATTTTTCTTGAGATATAAAATAAGGTGGCTTAAGTGATAAAAAAGTGTATAATAATATAGGCTCAGTTTGTAAGAAGTTCATTGCATAGTATAGTAGGGTTTGGCAATGGCGTAATTCAGTGCTATGCAGAGATACAAGCAAACTAGCTTGGAATAAGCTAGCTGAGGCACAAGAAATAGTGTAGCAGTAAATGCATTTTCCTCTGCTCAGACTAATAACGCTCCTTCTTCAGCTGGGCTCAGCTGATTCCAACACAGCCATAGTGCTTCTGATACCTGAGCTAGCACTGCACAGAGCTGATGGAGCTGAGCCCTGATGCTGCCTGCAGCAGCTTTGCCTCTTCAAGATGCTCCATCGGAGACCTGGTGGAGCAGGCGTTCCTCCACTTGTCCTTCTAGGTCTGCCCCAAGAGCAGCATGTGGCTGCCGTGGGGTTTGGACTGCAGTGGCTTTGGGCAGAGAAAGCCCCGATGCCAGCCTGTGGCCATGGTGGCCGTTTGAAGTCAGAATCTGCTCCACTGGAGTTGAAAAGGGATGCAATAGAGAACCTGATTCTTTTGAAAAAATATGGCTGATATCCTCAAAATATAGCTCCTAACAGAGTCTAAAAAGCGATACTTAAGAGTCTGGTATGAAGTGCAGCATGCATGGAGTGGCAAATTTTAGCTTGAAGCAGCAAGAATATCATGTTTCTGCAACACCCTAAGAAACTATGAGAAGGAGAGGGGTGAAAGAGAAAAAAAGGAATTACCACGTTAATAATTTCGCACTCAGTTCCAGAGGTAGCAGTAACATGTGCCATGGGCTGCCTGAATATTGGTTGTATGACAGTAAATCTGTACACAGGTTCATCTCAGTTACATAATCTTTCTGTGATGCAACCACAAGTAAAACAGTTCCACATTTCTCTGTCCAGTTTTGTTCCATTGTTTTTATGAAGATGCATGAAGGTGTACAGGTGTTAGACAAAGATATCTGACTTTGCTGAAGCCTTGAGCCTAGACTTTGCGTAGGTCCAGGCTTTCCTTGATGTGTCTATTCTAAACAGATTTCAGAGCTTGCCTGATTGTTGCCTCAGACAATTTCTGTGCATTTGCTTTTTGCAGCCTGATGTGTGTGATCCTATGTTATCTTGGTGCCCTGTTACCTGTCAGAAACAGTTTAAATCCTCATATGAAGAGAGCAACACGTGCAAAAACTGATTTGATTGAGAGAAAGGGGAGAGGAGAGAGAGTAAGTTTTCACTAGCTTTTAAGAGTGCGTTTCCCAGAGCAGCAGTTTGGAAATTGCACGTTTCTGCAGAGCCCAAACCACTCCAGACCAGTAAATCTGACTTGGAGATTAGTAACAGATGAGTCACTTGCGTGGCATGCTGACAGAGGGCTGACTTCTAGCCTCACTACATGGTTACACCAAGATACATAAGAGAATAGAATCCAACCCAAAATGTACTTTCCCATTACTATGTGATTATAAAGTAAGAATGGCTTATATGACCCATATATCCACTTAAGAAAATTATAAAGCATTAGCCAACAACTATATTGACCATTCCGTATAACCCCCCTGAAGAATGCTAGAAGTAAAATCCTGGCCACAGAGTAGTCATTCAGATTTTTGCCTTTTATTCCCATTTCCAGGATTCCATCACAGGAGAGCAAGCTGTTTATGTTATTTAGAGATTGGCATAATGGTTTTCCCAGTGTAAGAGAGCAAATGTTATCATCCTGCTGACAAGAATGGAAAAATTCCGGTAGATGAATTTTTTCATTTTCAAGTCCCTTCACCTTCAAGGCAAGCACAATCCTCCATCAGCAAATACCAATTTAGAGTCCTGCTACCCTCAGGAGTAGTCTGCAGGTAGACACCACAGGTCCTCTTTGCAGGACTGGAATTTACATGCACCATTCTCGAAGGAATAAGATTAATTACTACTTGTGAACAATGGGCTATGTGACTTATTTTATCTTTGTATTTATTTAATTTTCTTCTTAAAAAATCCTGCAGAGAAGTTTTAAGATTAAAAGGCTCAGCTTTGCGTGTTGCCTGATATCTCTGAAGATGTATCAGGAGATAATTTCTTTGGGCAGTTTGATTGTTGCTGCATCTAGAAAATTAGACTTTTAAGACAAAAGCAATTAACCAAACAAAAGAACGAAATAGGATTCAGTGAAGCAGTTCTTGCTAAGAAAATTAAAAACTTCGCCCTTCAACTTTTGATTTTGCAAATGGATCTGTAATGAGAAATTTGTGCTTCAAGGCAAATTGATTGTTGTGGAGCACTATGCAAGTGCACAGGTTTGCTGACCCAGAGCTGACTGCAGGATCAAAACCACATGATTTTGTGAGACACAAAATTAAATAAATGAAAACACCGAATACTTACCTATCCAGAGCGTTCCATGAAAAAATTAGATGGTATGATGTTAAAGCCTGCCAGTTTATTCTTAATCCTTGCCCTCTAGTTTGCATTATTACAAATTGAAAAATATGATCTGATTCAGCAATTCTGAATCCTAACAAATGTTGTCTATTTGTGGAATGCTTATCTTACCAGCCAAGTAGATGGTTTAAGATATGGATTAAGATTAAAGTAATAATAAAAGAGAAACATTTTTGAACAGTGTGCAGACACCTGAGTTTCAAGTATTTCATCGGAATAGTGCTCGGCTTATAATTCCTACCTATGTTGTTTCAAGCTATTTGTTCAGAACTTTCCTAATTTTCCCTTTGTTTCTTTTGTTTGCTTGATACATGTTTTGCCTTTGGTTGCCTTTCGTTTCACTATTTCTGCATTTGCTGCTTCTTTTTATTTTTGTGTGTTGTGCGTTTGGGGAAGGGTATGTCTGTTCAAGATCTCGTTGTTTATTGTAGATAAAATATATGGTGTTGTGGAATAGCATGGGGATGCATTTGATTGAAAAGGCACTGTAGTGTTTCCTGAAAAAGAAGGGGAGTTGCATTTGTTTATAAATGCATTATTTTGGTACTATAACTTTGAACTTGATTTTGGATTTTTTTTTCCTTTTTTTTTTTAATTTAATGAGCATATAGTCATGCAGGTGCATGCATTTTTGAGCTAGCAAGCCCAGCATGTTTTTCTTAAGGCTTTTGAAAATTTGGTACACAAATTGTGTACTTTTACATACCTATACTATTTTTTAAACATACTTTTTGGAATCTCAAGTTTTCTTCTTTTTTTTTCTCCTCAGTATACCATGGTATACCTGGTTTCCATTGTACTTAAAAACTACCCTGATCTGCCTCTCCTTTTATGTATCTTGTGTAATAGATTTTGCAGGAGGTGCCTAGAAAGCATTGTTGGTTTCCCTATAAAAATGTGGTTTGTTCAAATTCTTTACTGTCTACATGATTGAGAGATGGACTGATTGCCCTATTTTTCCTTGATGATTTGGAGTTGTAAGAGTTGTCCAGCTGTTGCTTAATAAAATTTTGCAGACTAGAAAATTCCTGACTTGTTTTTGTTGCATGCTGCATCTTGTCAAGCACCTTAGGTACTTTTATAGCAGATGACAAATCTGCGCCGGAATGACCTGAATAATAAATAGCCAGATGCCGGTATGCTTTCTCTTTTCAATAACTGTACCTGCAAGTTCCACTGAACCTGATGCGTGTCCCAGCCCATCATGCTTTGTGTCCTTCATACGGGAGGGTGGATGGCAAAGATTTCATCATAATGTTCCCATCTGCCTGGATATCAGCCGATTCTTCTGCTATTTCTCCTCTGCTTGCTTTCCTTTTTAAGGAAATTACCTTTGGGGTTTGTGGTACTTCTCATTTTGTCATTGATATACTGGAAACTTTAACATTACCACGAGGGATTCCTCTGTCCTGTCATCTTTAATAACAGAATAAAATGCTGTGATGGCCAGTGTTCATTCTCTGGTTTTTAACTAAAATAAGCATTCCGGGGGCTGAGGAAATAAAAAAGGTAGTACAGTAGCTTACCTTGCATAATAAACATCCCAGCTCTGGCACAAATGAGAGAATCCTAGCATGGATCCTCATAATGGACCCAGGTTACCAGTGAAGTTTTGCAGGGGTCTGTGCGGGATCCTCACGTATTCATGGGTGGCCTTGAGAAGAGTTTGAACAGTGAGCTACAAAGTTTACTGATGATATGAAGTCATTCAAGATAGTAAAGGCAATGGCCAATCGTCAAGAACCTCAGAAAGTCTTTATGAAACTTGGCAATAAAATCGCAGATGAAACTCAGTATAGGTAAATGTAAAGTGATACACATGGGGAAACAAAACAGTTCTAACTTCACGTTTGCGGTAATGGCCTCTGAAGTGACCTCTACTGCTCAGAAGAGACCTCTGAGAGTTTGATAGATTGCTCTCTGAAAACATCACGTTGGTGCTCAGCAGCAGTCAAAAGACAAAAATAAAATATTAGTAATGTTTAGGAAAAGAATTGGCAGCAAAGCAGAAAATACAGGGTCACTGTATAAAACTGTTGGTCACCACACTTTGCATACTGTGCAGTACCGGTCCCCTTGTCTTAGAAAAGGTAGATTAGATCTAGAGAAGATTCACAGCAGGGCAACAAGGACGATCAAAGGCATAGAACAACTTCTACATGAGGAATAACTGTGAAGGCTAGGGCTCTTCAGCCTGGAAAACAGATAGCTTAAAGGAATTGCTAGAGAGCCACCAAAACAGGAGTAATGTGGAAAGGTGGGTAGGGATTGTCTGTTCATTGTCTCTTACTGCAGAAAAACTAGGAGCTATAAAATGAAAATAAAGTGAAATAATAGTGGGGCAGGATATCAAACAAAAGGAGGTGGTTCTTCAAGGAAGTGAGCAGCAGACCACTTTGCCAGAGGATGCTGTGATACAAGAAGTTTACAAGAATTCAAGCAAGACTGGAAAAGTGCGTGAGAGAGATATCTGTTAGGACACTAAACAAACTACAACAGGGGCAGAAAGTTCCCTGAGCTGAAAATAGTCAGAGGCTGGGAGAGTATTAAGGGAAATACTGTATGAATTTTCTCGGTTCTTGCTCTTCCCAAGGAATCTGCAAATGACTATTGTAGGACACAAAACACTGGGCTTAAATGGATTCTCACTGTGAACCAGTGTCACCATTCGTACGCCAGCATTTCTAAAACAAGCTTAAACCTGGAGTGTCAGGCTCTGGGAATGAGGAGAAGGGGGAGGATTCCCAACCTGGTGTCTGAATGCTTTGCACTGCAACTGTGAAAAGTCCTAACATCAGCACTGCTCAGGGAATGAGCTGGGGATCTGCCAACATTCATGAAATCTCCCTTAGCTCTAGATGAGTTTAAAGGTGAAATTCAAATTCTACTAAAATGCAGAAATTATGAGATTAGTTGTTAAGTTTGGAGACAGAGGAATGGAACAGTAATATAGCTTCTGTCACGGCTCTCTGCTTTGGCCTTGTGCTGTTTTGCTTTTTGCTTTAGCTAGTTTCAGTGTTTCCCTGAGCTCGTAACTGGCCAGGTGAACTAAGCTGATTCATGCAGTTTCCTTTTAGATCGAGGTTCCAGCAGTTTTCAGGTTTTTACTTCTTTGTGTAGGATATTGACTTAAAATATAGTCATCTTCTGCTTCCCTGCCCCTTTTTAATGTTAATTTGGGGGGTTCTGCCAGCTACAGCACTGGTAATTGATTCAATCAGGGTAACAATTTGTTTACTCCTTTGCTCATGGAACTGAGCTAATGCAGTTTGGTTTGTTGTTCTGGAAGATCGTTTTTGGAAGGCCCCTCTCTGCTGGGTGCAACCAGCTAAATTTAACACATGTAGTCACTTGTAGTTTGTAAATAAACTTCAAGTTTGCTGCATCACCATCTGTACATGTCAGTACAGAAATGTGACTAAATGAAAACACTGGAGCTGTAACTAGCTCTTGAGAGAGAGGAGGCATGAGAGGAAGCAGACAGATCTAGGGAGGTGGCTTGTATGAGGGAGATGACTGCTGAGACATGCCTGCCTGGAAACGGCAGGTGACGCAAATGCAAAATTTATCAATTAACAGGGGC